AGTGTCTTAATTTTTAGCAGTGAGGGCATTATAATCGTGGTAATCTAAAGGTTAGCGTATCGGGCTGAATAGAGAGAAGTCTAGTATGTTTCTAAGTGTCTTAATTTTTAGCAGTGAGGGCATTATAATCGTGGTAATCTAAAGGTTAGCGTATCGGGCTGAATAGAGAGAAGTCTAGTATGTTTCTAAGTGTCTTAATTTTTAGCACTGAGGGCATTATAATCGTGGTAATCAATCCTGCCATTCGGTTAAGAATATCCGCGTATGACGTTGGGTACTATTGATTGGTTGCCCTCCTTCAAGTAAACAATTCTAAATTATAACTGGCTGTGCCTAAGTTTTAGGGTCTCTGACCCGGCAATTTAAGACAGTTGTCGCCTTTGTTGCTGTTCAAGTTGGAAATACCAAATGCTTTCTGATCTAGCTCTTAAAAATAGCTATTTTTTAATTGCTTGTCGTTTGACGTCGCTTTTCCAAAGCAAAATAGTTTAAAATTTAAAAACCTTGAAAAAAGTGATTTTTATTTTAAATGAGAGGGGACATAATTTCGTTTTCTTTACAAATTTCTCTGTGCTAATTTTCAAATGTTTTACTTTAGAAATATATTTGGCTTCCACTGAATTATTTTTTCTAGTTTAACCCCCTTTGCTTTCCTCCAGCGGTAAATGAGATAAACGTTCCCACTTGACTGATTTTTAACTTCACAACATGAGTGAATTAATGACAAAATTAGAACTCAATTGCCCCCCAGTGGCACAGCGATATGTCTGCGGACTTATAACGCTAGACTCCGGGTTTCGATACCAGTGGTGGGCAGAGCACAGATAGCCTATTGTGCTTAATTAGAAACAAGCAAAGAACTCAATCACCCGTTGATCTCCACGATCAACCTGAAGCCTGGTTCAGGGGTAGAAATGAAAGATTAAAACACTGAGCATTTTCTTCCCTACATTTCAAGATACTTCGTACAAATAATTAATTCGATTTGTCTGAGGATAAATTGATAAATCTGGATTGACTAACAAGTAAATTTAGCTCACATTTTAAACGTTATAGAATTACTAACGAGTCCACTTGGACTTTTAAACACACTAAAAACAAATCCATGCACCATATTCCTTGTGGGTTTATGGCTTTGTGATCATGGCATGACTCAATATTTAGCATACTGGTCTGTAAATTTGAGGGTACGTGGTTCGCGTCCCGTTACCATAAAATCGTGTTCTGCACTTTATGGCCGTGATTGCGTTATAAGAGTAACAATCATATCCCACTATTGAACAAGAGTAGCCAAAGAGTTGGTGGTGGGTGCTACATATTAGCTATGTTCCCTCTATCAGGAACGGCTAAGGCAGATAGCTCTTGCGTCACTTTGCGCAAATATCTGAAACAATTAAATAAACCTCAACTGTGTTGGATACAGGGTCTCTAATAACATATGAATCACAGAAAAAAATTACCAAAAATATAGTCAATCTTGTAGTTAATACTACTAATTAATGCAGAGGTTTCTAAGTACTGTACTTAGAAAATCATTGATAATTACTGCTCTGTGGTTTTGTTTGAACAACGCTTTAATCTTCCTGTTAATTTTATGCTGGTTGAAACACTTGCTATCAAGTTGTCACGCTAATTTTATGCTGGCTGCAACACTTGCTATCAAATCTTCACATTAACTTTATGATGGCTGAAACACTTGCTATCAATTCGTCACATTAATTTTACGATGGCTGCAACACTTGCTATCAAGTCGTC